GTATCCTAACTAGTGCGGATTTATCAACTTAAAATACCATAGATTTCGGAGGCCGAGGCGGCCGCTCCAACAATCGCTCTGTCCCACCGGCTTGCAATTAGCAACAAAGACGCGTCAACGGTTAAAAAAAACGAGATGCGCGTCGAGTGCAGACCACAACCACAAATTCCATAATAAAAAAAGGATAAAGCATTTGCCGTTGATCAATCCCTTTTGGGATGCGGCACGCATTCTACTTCCATTTGTACATTCGTAGTGGCGTTTGAATGCGATGTGGCCTATACAATGACTTGCGGGGGCCAGCCGATGTACAAGTCAGTGTTTTTATCCTCCCAGACAAGTCTGGTACCAATTAACCGACCCCGGAGGGATGGAAGGCTTGGTTGGCCCGGGCGACTCACGACCCAGGATTTGATCCCCGGACCGCTCGCGTGGTAAGCGTGCCACTTGCCACTACACCACTTCCGCCCACAAATGATGATGGCCTCCACAAATTGCAAATGTTTTTTATTTATTTTACCAATGGAACAACAAGTCACTTGCAGTTGTAATCTATCAGTTGTCACTAATCACAACTACCTCATTTACCAACTATCAGCTATCACTATGAACCACTAGTAACCAGATTTACTTGGAGGCCGTCGTCACTTGTGGTGTGTGGTCTGCACTCGACGCGCATCTGGTTTCCGGAAGCAGAGAGTACACCACCTCCGCACTAATAGTGACCAGATTAATCCTACCACATAAATTCAAATAAATCAAAAGAATGAAAAGACAAAGTTGTTTATATCAGTATTTTTTTGTCCCTATGAAGAAGATCACTCACTGGTTTGATGAAACCTTCTAGCAACTTCCAGCTCTTCTCTTCATGAGGTTGCGGAGTAGACGTTAATTTCAGTGTTTCCCTCCGTGCCAGCAAGGTTTTGCAGTAAAAAATTTTTATTCACCATGTTTTGCTCCAAGTAGCATCACACCTAATGTGCCTTTCCTGCTTCTTCATACCTCGCGTAAGTTCGCGGAACGCACAGGCCGGCGCCTTCCGTTTCCGAGCTGGGAATTAGCGTCTGTGATTCAGCCACTACTTATTTTTTTACAGTGCTGCTTCCAAGGGGTTGAAATGGTGTAGTGACAAGTGGCGCTGTTACCACGTGCACGGTCCCGAGTTCAAACCCTAGATCGTGCGTCGACCAATCAACCCTTCTTTCCCTCTTGGGTCACTGGATAGTACCAGATTTCTCTGGTGAACACGCGGTACTAAAATGTACTCCTCTATTTCGGAAAACGAGAAGAGCGTCGAGTGCAGACCACACACCACAAGTGACGACGGCCAAGAAAAAAGTGGCTTTTCTTTTCTTTTTTTTTGGCCGTCGTCACTTGTGGTGTGTGGTCTGCACTCGACGCTCTCTCGTGTCCCGAAATAGAGGATACATCGGATGGTCTCCGTAAGCCTTAATGTAGACTAAATCGCACTCAAATTGCCAGTAAGATTCTGAATAGACGAAAAATGCGTGGCGCTTCCCAAAAATTGGTCGATCAACGCCAATTCTTTTATTTTCAATTATCAGTTTCAGTTTTTACCAGGAATTTTACGGACTGTTATTGGAATTTGTTGCGGGATAATTTGTCCCGACCCGTGCACTATGAGTTTCACGGCCATTTGGAGTGGAAAACTTGGTCAGTCCACTATGGGAGCCGGCCCATCCTTTTCCAGAATATTCAAACTTGCAGTGGTTCTTCTACAAAATGAGAGTGGGGGATTCCATCTAATAATCATACTAATCCCTGACTACCTATATTTACAAACATTTAGCGACTTTCAGTGGTCAAAACATCCGGCGCCAGGGCCTGCGACATGGACTTCGAGCTTTTTCTGCCCCTACGGAATTGAAATTTTGCTCACTATCAAAAGTCAAACTATTCCGTGAACAAATTTCAAGCCATATTCTAACTTTAACCAGGGTCAACCGTCTGTTCGCATTATTCGAACGAGGAGGTCGCATTTGTTATTTCGAGAAGGGGGCACATTCTGGGGATGAGTAAGATGATTACAGTGGGAACGAAGGAAATTGTTATGAAAGTGGTGGAATTAGACAGACTTAGTGGATTTGTCGCTTTATGATTTTATGGTACTTCATGGTACCCACCCAATTTGTCCGCTCCCTCACCCCTGACGGCCATTTTGGAGGAAAAGTGATCAGAGTTGTGGGTGTGGACTGGTCTCAGAATCAAATACTGTAGAAACAGCCATGATGGTGAGGGTGGTGGTCGGAGAAGGGGAAGGGAATCGTATTGGGGGAGCCTTCTAAGACTGATGTGGTGGGGGATCGCATGGAGGGGGGGGCTCAAAATTTTTGAAAAAGCGCGAACGTGACGGTTGACCCTGACTCCAACCCTCGAAGAGGAAGGATAAGGGCTGAATAGTGCTCTTATCGACTTCACAAAATTTTATCAGTATTTGTACGTCTATCTGGAATGAAGCACTACGGGAATCGGCCCCCTTTCCAGACTACTAACCCTTGCAGCGGTTCCTCTTTCATGATGGTATTGCCTAGTTTCCTCGTTTGCTCACCATTAATTAGTTTCCCAGAATTGAGGTTGAAATATGTTTAGGTTGTCACCAAATTGGAAATCGGGACTCATTATCGTTAACTGCTGTTTTGACATCGCGCTCTTCGCGCTGCGAATGTTTCACAAGAACGAAGCACAGCACCTGATCATAGATGACATAGCTGCACTCAGCCTACTTATCCTCATTTGCTCACCATTAATTGGTTTCCCAGAATTTTGCTATGCACATCAATTAATAACTCAGTTTTTGTAGAATGACATTACAGAGCTCTCCTAAAGGACACACGCACTCTCGCGGTCGAGCCTACCATAATTAGCATTAAATAACATCAACAGCATCAAAAAGCACACGTGATCGCGATTTATGACGCCATGTATGATACCGAGTCTGTGACTACGACAGGCCTTACCGCGGGAAACAGGGCTCATTTCGGCGCGCGTAACGTTAACAGTAATCGGAAAACTCACGAAAGAGTTTCTCGAACATAACAATGATGCTCTATGATGTATGATAGTGTCTTAAATGGAAATCTTGTACATCCCTTGTAAACATAATTATATTTTCCAAACAGCTTCCCATGGTTCCAAGAATGAAGACAAAACAACGTCTTAAAAACGCGAAATTCATGATTAGCGAAGGAAGAGCTCAAAAGATTAGTCCCACGATGGATGATGGCACAGCCGTTAGGTCGAATTTCCTCAAGATAAACCCCTTCGTTTAGAAGCTCTTCTATCGGTACCAAAGTTTTTTTTTTCAAGAAAAAGATCCTTTACATGAGTTATGAAGGTGACTCGGTCTGAGAACGACTTCTCGTATGATGAAAAACAATAGCTACAACAACTTTTAATGGAAGCTGGATGCATGGCGCACCCCATCCCCACGAACTTGCTCAGTACATGTGTCATTTTGGGACATTTTCAAGAAAGTTAACCCCTCATCATCCAAGGTCAATCCTGCAGAACAATTACGAGGTTACTGTGAGTCCTAAATATGCCCAGTGGAGTGCAACTACTAGTACTACAGCAATGTTTTCATGGCAACAACAATGAGAATTACATAACATCCAAGCTGACCGCGTCGAAAGCCTGCGCACAGTACACACATATTGAGCACACGCGTTCTTATATATAGGCTATCTCAGACACATTTCAAGGGGTACCCCCAGTGGCCCGTCGCGCGACGAACTCAGAGACGCAGGCGCGGCAGAGGACGAGTCGCACCGCATACTGTAGCGGTTAGGCGTCAAGTTCAATATAACGCATTACAGTACGTCCCACACCATTCACTCCACGGCGTGGGCTCAAAATGCGATATCTTGTTACAATTAGTCACGCCGCTTATGCTTATTTTCTTTGTACTGATATGTAGTACATCCGTCCAGACTCAATTACCAGTTGGAGTGAATGGTGTGGGACGTACTGTAATGCTTTACATTGAACTTGACGCCTAACCGCTACAGTATGCGGTGCGACTCGTCCTCTGCCGCGCCTGCTTCTCTGAGTTCGTCGCGCGACGGGCCTCCTGGGTGGTACCCCATTTCAAGTTCCCGACAGCAGAACCGTCGCGCGGCGAGCCAGAGACGCAGATCAGCGGTAAGCGGACGAGTCGCAGCTCGTGTTGTGCGATGTGGTACGTACAACAGTACTCTCACTTTAACTTTGCGGCAGACAGCTGCAGTACGTGCTGCGACTCGTCCGCTGAAGCGTCTGCGTCTCTGCCTTCCTGCCGTGCGAGGGGCCTTCTGTCGGATACCCATTTCAAATACATAGACTACTCAGCGCTATGGCGCTATCAAGATACTTATTACGGTTCCTTCATACGAGCTCCGTTTCATGTGACGATTGCCTCGTTCAAGAATACTTTATTCTTCGAAGAAAGTAAATAACTCGAGATTCTCTTGTGCGAGATAAACTACGATACAGTACCCGAAAATTTTGTTATACAAGTAAAACTATACCACTTTGTGGAAACGTTATAGGACGCATAATACTTTTGTTTTTTTTAAACGAGTGACGCATAATACTTATTTTGTTTGTTAGATAAAAGTATACAAATGGGTTGAAAGAAGTAATAAATAGGATTGTAAGTAGCTATAAGATCGAATAAATACAGGATTAAAGCAAATCAACTGATGATAGGACCACGTCTAACATGGAATACAACATGAAAACTTCAAAAATACAACTTTCAAAATGCAGTTCTTCATAAAACGAGAGAAACAAAGTGAAGCGCCAAAAGAAACATTCTTTCAGATTTAACGAAAAGGATGAAATTAAAAAAAGGCCCCAAAATAAAGTACCATGTCATAATAATAATACCGAATAGAACTTCTTGTCATAAAGCAGTTAGCCGTAAAACTCTTCCATTACCTTCAGGAAGCTCAATAAAACCTTAATACTGACTTCTACAGTCCTTTCACCGGCCCGAAAATTCACAACGGATGAGGTGGAGGCCGGAAGGTCTGTAATGTCGAGTAGGACGTTGCAATTGTTTGAACTGGTTCTGGTACAGCCGAACGAGTATCAGATGAGTTGAATGAGTAGCCTGAAACCGAACTCGTTGAAATTAATTCGGATAAAAAAATGAAGGCGAGTTTTTACATTCATATTTGCTTGTCAGCAAATTCTTCAGTCCATAGTTGGCCAAAATGACGTGCTCAATCGGAAAGGGCAGAAAATTATTAATCAGGAATTTCAGGAAACGAAAAGCCGAAAGACAGAAGTCGTTCCCTCTTTATTACGATCAGCAAATCAATTCAAGATGAAGAAAATAGGTAATCCCAAGCTCACCTTTCAGATCGCTTTCAAAACCGCTGCTCGGTGACGGTGAAGGACTCATCCTGGACGACTCTTCCTTTTCTTCTTCAATTACCGTCAGTCCGATCTCGTCTTCCGTGCTAATTTTCTGGGTATGGATAGACGGCAAAAGAGCTGCGCACTGGGACTGAAATAATTCACAATTGTTCAGAGAAAGAATACAAGGTCCTACAAAAGTATTTTATTCTATTAAGTGAATCTTCGTTACTGAGTGATTGACCTGTGACGTGCGCGGTCACTAGTAGCATGGAACGCAGCTGGCGAATCCAACCAACATTATGATTTTATATGCTAGGGCGGAAGTGGTGTAGTGGCAAGTGGCGCGCTTACCACGCGAGCGGTCCGGGATCAAATCCTGGGTCGTGAGTCGCCCGGGCCAACCAAGCCTTCCATCCCTCCGGGGTCGGTTAATTGGTACCAGACTTGTCTGGGAGGATAAAAACACTGACTTGTACATCGGCTGGGCTGGCCCCCGCGCGGCTGGCCCCCGCAAGTCATTGTATAGGCCACATCGCATTCAAATGCCACTGCGAATGTACAAATGGAAGTAGAATGCGTGCCGCATCCCAAAAAGGGATTGATCAACGGCAAATGCTTTATCCTTTATCCTTTATTCCACCTCACAAATTGTTCTAACTGAGTGTAGACGTAACTGTCCCGAGTTACAAGCAAACTCGCCACAATCGGAGCGTTCAGACCTTAAGCTAAGTGCTTTGCTGGAGCACGTAGTGACTGAGGAGCAGTTCAGACCTTTGCGATCAGTCGCGACACGAATCACTAGTGACTGACGGCGAATCTAACCTTTTGTTTAAGCATTACAACACCAAGCCAGTTCCACGCAAACATCAATGACTAACAGTAAAACCAGACTTATTATAGTAACTAGTACTTCCCATTATTCTATTACCAAGGTTGATCGATTTAAACTCAAGCTCTCCCACTCAAAGCCTGGCTGTTATTACGATATATGAACGTCATCTTGTGGATATACTTAAGACGGCTCCGCTTATAATACGCGAATCGGTCACATTCTCCTTCAATGCAGGCCCACGACTTTTTTTTTACCATCCTTATGCTTCACGAAATGAGCACGCCGGATAAACCCATTAGAGACCCTTTCAGCTACTTTTCAATACTAGTAAAACGCTAACCCAACGCAGATGCAACCTTCTCACGAACCCCATCGAAAATTGTTGCTGTCCTCAACAAGCGTTTCAATGCCATGTGACGTAATCGCGTAGTCGCGTGCACTGATTGCGCCACACGACTTAAAAACCCGTAATTACCGAGAAAACGAGACAATTAATAAGTGATCCATCGCGCGATAACAAAGTCAGCTCAACACTACATCGATCTCAACCTAGTAGGAATCGTTGAACCAAAATTCCGGCTACCTTGGCACAGCTGAAATCGGCTGAGTAGTGGTATTGGGGTAGCGAATAAGTGCCGCATTACACACACTCTATCTTTGGCTCCAATTTCGAGTCTATGTGGTGTTAGCATCCCTCAGCAATGAAGCGCTTTCGGATAGGGAAACAAGGGCGCTATCGCAGCATACGTCCTCAAGGAGTAAGCCTAGGAGAGGCGACCTCCGGGAAATGAAATCGCTCACACACTGGAGTCTCTCTCCGCTGTCCTAGGCTTATTACCGTTATTACTGACAAAAAGAAATCTTTTACGCGGTCTTGAATGCATTGCCACCAACAATGCCCCGTATCGCGAGATAGCGCCAGAAAGACATCAAAATATGGACCTCAATCTATAATTATATGGGCCCAATACTCATTCAATTAGCACCCCGGTTACGTAAGAAGTGAAGCACAAGGCACCTTCGACGCTAACGACCACCTTACGTTGCGAAGTTCATATTCTGGCACCACAAATCAACCCTCAAAAAACAAAAACAACTTAGAAACCCGTAGTGGGGGGGTTCGCATTAATCTTTAGAAATCCTAGTTTTTTATGATTAGAGAGATCAGCTTTTATGTGTTTACTGTGTACAAGGGCTTTGCTGAGAACTAATCATAGCCTTAACAAGCTCAAATTCAGGCAATGTTTATTGGAAAAGATTTGCGAGATTACGGTGGTCTGAGTAGGTAGTAAATCTATAAAGAAAAGAACCAACGAGCACAAGCTAAGGATTAAGCAGCCATTCGATTAATTGCTTCTCATAACCTCAGTCTAGTTGTGGAGAAACAAAAGGACATTCCTATCCTCAGCCTACACTATCATATTTTCCCCCATAATCTATAAAGACACTCATTTCCTCCTCGACTGCTACTATACAAGCCATTGTCATTACGGGATAATCCGACCCTCAACCTTTCTAGCGCTTGCCGGTAGTGGCAGTTCTTGAAAGAAAAGTGAACCCCCCCCCCCTCCCAATTAGGAAGTGCACGTACCTGGTTATAAAGAAGTGTCCAGTATAAAGAAAATTATGATTGTAAAGTAGCATTGATTGTAGAGCAAACAAGGTAACATCATTAGCTACTGGTACTAATCGCCACTCTACTTCGAGGTAGAAATTAAGGTGACGTCTTCTGGGTCGTGCGTTCTTGAAAGTAGGTCAAAAACGCTAAAGGGGCGAAGGTGTTCGATGGAAGTAGTGTGCTAATGAATTTGAAACAAGTTTAGGCTTACAAAAGCGATAAGAAGGTCGAAGCTCCAGTCAGAATGAATCTCCCACTGACAACCTTACGGCTGTAGCAATTCAACCGTTCCATTGTGCCTATCCCATCGGAGGAGGTCCCCCCTCGACCCCTAAACGGTTGACGATAATGTCGTTAGACCTGCCATCACTTGAAGCACTCCACCTCTACTCGTCAAAAGTGTGGACGAGAAGGGGGGGG